CTGCTCCCACCAGCAGTTTAGGACAGTGTAGGACTATTTAGTCCACAAGCCTTGTCATGTCTGCACCAGCTAGGACTCTGCCTACCTTCCATGAGCTGCCTGCTCCCACCAGCAGTTTAGGACAGTGTAGGACTATTTAGTCCACAAGCCTTGTCATGTCTGCACCAGCTAGGACTCTGCCTACCTTCCATGAGCTGCGCAGTGTAGACTAACTGCAATTTTTTCTGAGTCCTCCACCTCTTGGAGGCTCTGCCAACAGCTGCCTCCCTGTCCTAGTCTTCCTGAGATGTCCCCTGATCTACATTTGTCATCTTCTCACCGGGAGAACCATCTGCTACAAGCATGAGAAGATAGAAGAGGTCATTAGTTTTTCCTCCAATGAGGCAGAAAAAGCACACACTGTTTACAGCAACAGAACCTCAGTCTTGTACCCTGGGCTAAGGAAGTGGGCTTGGATCCCTGCTTTGAAAAGTAGGAGGGGCTAGTTCCTCTAACCTGGGGGAGCTCTCAACCTCTGGAAGCCAAATGAGTTATTGACAGGCTACAACAGTAATGCAGAGCAAGTCTCAGTCCCTCTCCACCCTGATGCCATTCTTCAGGCTGCTCTTGGGACAGCAGCCCAAGCACCAGGGATGGCAGCCAGGCCAAGCAACTGTCAGAGGCAGTGATGCTCCTTGGATCCATACCAGCCCTGGCTTTTCACTCACAGCTTTTCCAGTACTGATAAGAGCTCTGGGGTTGAGCAGAGATGTTCCATCCATATTCAGGCTTCAGACACTGCCCTGGATGTATGTCCTCAGGAGCAGGCTGGGATGTTGCTCTCTCTCTCTCTCCAGGGCAGCTCCACTAAGGGCAAACCAGAATCCTGCAAGAGGCACACAAGCAGAGATCCCTGCCCAAGGCAGGAGCCCCAGCTCAAATCAAATAAAACCCAGCCAGTGTAACAGGACTATTGACTGAGCAAGCACAGAGAAACCAGGTCAACTGAGCAGATCGCAAGGTAACACACCAGGCCAGAGAAAAAAGGAGGATGGTCACAGAGTGACAGCTCTCATCCCCACTAAACCCTTGCTGAGGTCTCTGAAGAATGTTACAAAAGCAGTCCATGATAAAAAAAAGTTCAAAATTTTATCCTCACATGGTATTTCTTCAGATAAGCACAACAGAAACCACTAGCCTCATCTCCCCATGCCTGCTGCAGCAGTGAGCTGTGCCTGGCAGGGTGGGAGCTGCCAGGGAATCTAACACACCACCAGCAGACCAAAGACTACTCAGGAGCAACCACACCTGTATTCTTTGGACAAATACACCTCTCGGGCTCTCCTATTTTCAGCCCACCATCAATCCATTTGCACACAGGCATCTCCAGCTCTTCTGAACTCCAGGAGAGCTGTGGCACTTGCCTCCAGCTCTTCTGAACTCCAGGAGAGCCCTGGAGTTGCCTGGGGTCACCCAGACCTGGGTATGACAGCAGAAGCTGCTGCCATGGAGTGCTCACACAGACCAAGGGAGGCCTCTGCTAAAGCATGCATGGCACCTCCTTGGGCCACCATCACAGGCAACCAGCTAAACAGTCACCAGAACACCCTTCACAACCCACTTGGCAGCACTGGGTTGAGCCACAGGGTTTAAGAGATGATGGTGGTTCTCCTTACCAGTCCTGGGGGCACCTGTTTTTCCAGCTCACCACAGAGCCTCACTAGCTCCAGGCTTATGCAAAACTACTTTAGAGCACTGCTTGTCTGAAAGATCTTTTGGCTTGTGAGTAACACAAGCTCCTTGCCCAACTGGGAAAGCACTTGAGGATTTACCCACTGTTCAGCCAGACCTGACTCCTCCGTACAGAAGCAACCCTTGTGTTCACCTCTCCCAAGCAATAAGCCTCCATCCTGCTCAGGGCTCCAGGCATCACCCTCCACACAGCTTTCCTTGACAAACTGAAGGACCATCTCTCACGACCAGAGATAACTAGTCACCAAATGTCTAGTGAAAACTAAATCGAGCAACTCTTGTACTTGTTACAATTTCCTAAGCAGTACTGTCATTGCAGTGACTCCTGTACCAGCAGTACAAGGTGCTATCCTGAACCTTCCTCACTGCCTGCTCTCAGCTGGTCCCTAAGCTGCTGTCACAGCTAACTAAAAACATACACCATGGAAAATCCACACAACTATCAGTCCCGTTTTCCAGAATGAAGCTGAGATGACATTCCTGTTAACTAAACCATCAAGTGCAATAATTCAAACTCACAGCCAAAACAAACAGAGGCAACAACTACTGTGCTATTCCAAGCTCAAACAGCAAACGCCGATGTTCGCATTTCCCATCCTCTCTGCACACCCCGATCTAAAGCCACAGACAGGTACCTTGCACTCAGCACAGGGCAG